GAAGTTGAAATACAAGCATGGATCACAGGAGAATTTTCTACAGGCATTGCAATTTTACAGAAAAAAAGCTGAAAAGTAAATTTTAATAAGTATTTGCAAGCATATTTTTTTCTTATTTTTGTCTGTTGTGTTATTGATGTTAACCATGATTCTTGAAGCATTAGCACTGTTGTAAACTGAAGTTCTACACTAGCCAAATATCAGATATTAGGAGGTGAATTAGTTTATTTATGTTGTTTGATTGTTGTATTGAAAAAGATAACTTCCATTCTCAGAATTTGCCTAAATTTCTATATGCAGTTGTTGTACTAAATAACAACAGATCTATAATTTCATCTTCCTATCATTCTCCATCAGGTGACAACAGATGCAGTAGGAAGGGTATCATTCCTTCCTGCACATACCTATGTCCTGTAACAAGGAGAAAGAGCAAACCTTTAAGAGATCAAGGTTTAATAGATACTTCCTGTTGGAGCTGATCATTCCAGATTTATCTTTAGTGGAAATTTTGTCATTTACCTGAAAACAGCCAGTATTGCCAATGCATAGAAACACAACATAAGGATCCTAGTATACATTGCCATTACTTCTGAACCTGAAAGTTCAAAGAAAATCTGTAATCTGTAAAAGTTAACCTTTATCGTCTTCTGACTGTGTTTCAAAGCCATGGACATTTCCATACAGTCTTTAAATATTCCTAAGCATAGAGTGAAAGTAAGAAAGACAGAAATGGTTGAAAAAAGTTCGGATCATATAAAAAATATTTCAGTGAACAATACATAATGAAGAGTGTTAAAAATTGTATATAAACATTTTATGTGGTGATTATATGTGGATTGTGAGACTTTAAATGAAGGAAACTCATTTCAAACAGACTTTTAAAATATTTTTAGTCTCAAAGTCTACTGAGTTCACTGAGAATCTTGGTACTATTAGCCCATCCGTTTTAACACCTTCTCTGAGGAACCTTGGTGTAATAACTTCTATGGCCAACTCCTCTGCTATGTTGTGTCAGAACAAAACTGGCTTCCCAGCCTTCAATCATACAGAATATACATTGCCCAAAGGCTGAGGGATGGAGGAGAGTTGGGGCTGCATAATGCTCCTCAACTTCCCACCTGTTTAGGTCTCCTACATTCTCTGGCACTGCCTAAAGCTGCACATTTTTGTCACCTACTTTTCACTCAGGAATCTAGCACCCATGCAGAACAACTTGTGATCAGGTCATGGATACTTCCAACCTCATAGATAGTGCCATTAGCCCATTGCTTGGAAGGTCTGTTTGATGTCATTTGACTCAGCAAGGGCTTTTCCACGTGATTTAAGGCATGGTATTAACAAGCTGTGAAAGTAGTTTCAGCTCACTTTTTGTAGCTGTGCAGGTGATAACTTCAAAGCACTGAAAATAGAAGTAGGCAGAAGGAAGAATTATCTCCCAGGATTCTAGCAGCTCTGATGGGTATGGGAAAGTGTGACTGTCAATAATGTTATAATGAATAACTCCTCAATGTTTTCAGGGTACCTGTTGCAAAGCAAAGACCTGAACAAAGTCAAGCTTGCACATGGCAGCTGCAGATACCATGTTTACACCTGCAGCAAACAAAGTGGTATATATTACTTTAAGTCTTACCGTGTAAGACTTAAGTTAGACAGAGCTACATGTGTCTGATCTCTTAATCTGTGTTTCAGACAAACTTTTGCACACACAGGAGCCTAAGTGATGCTCTGAAGTCTTGTGTTAGACTATTTCCTAATTTTCTGAACTGTCAAGTACTCAGTAGCTTACCATAGCTTCTTTAGACATATGGCTCAAGTCTCAGCAGAGATACTGTGTAATCTATCTGAAATTTTGTTTCCTTTCTTTTCCTTTTTAGTAGTATTATTAATCATGAATTATAGCTGTTAATTCACAATCCAGAATGTACCTAGCAAAGAATTGAAGTAACTGTGACCTTGGAGGCATGCATGGCTGTACAGTTACCATATTAATAGATTTTCATAGAGTCATACCATTTTAACAACAGCAGATTGTGGATAGATATACAACACCATGAAGTACTGTGTCATAGGATACAATTACTGAGTCCCTTAAGGACACTGTATACCAGATCATGATACTGGTTAGATTCATTATTGCTAGTGTCATTATATGGGGTTTAGAGAAGTCTTCACATGATTAAGTTCTGTGGCTTTTAAAGTATTGTTGCTATAGCCAACTCTTTCAACATGCTGTTAGGTACGAGCACTTCATTCTTCTCCTGTTTAATATTAACTATAATATCATGTAATAAAATTGAAACAAAAGTGCCATAGGCCTAATTGCACTGTCACAGCCATGTAAATCAGAAATAGCTTCAGTAAAGCTACTGTTATTATGCTGGTGTAAAATTGATGTAAATTAGAAGTGACTTGGATCCTGTAGCTCTGCTTTCAGATAGCACAATGTGAAGTTCTCACTTAAATGCTCACATAATGGCTTATGAATTAAATACCCCTTACCTCATCAAATTATATGGTATTGTATCAAAAATGAACAGTATTTATAAGGAATGACATAATCAGATAGATTGAGGTAAGATAATGTTATGGGGCCAAGTTCTGAGCTGTGTTGACTTCCAGAAAGTTAATGCAGAGCTGTATGAATTGGCTGCCAGCAGTATATAACTTACCATCATGCATAAAAATGAATTGTTTTGCTGTTACACAATGTAAAGTAAGAACTCTGACTTTAGGTAGGACTTTATTTATTTATTTATTTTTCTGATATGTTAGCCTAATGAACAGCATCAAAAAGGAAATGTGTCAGACATGTTGGTTACATCAAGAACTATGTAGGAAACTAGTAATGAAGTCGAGGAAAATAAATAGGGCAAGTTCAGGAAACATAAGTGAAAATGCAGCTCTGGTATAAATTGAATAATAAAATTCCTGGTCATATTTTGCCCTAAATAGTGGTTTGGGAATTTGTCATTCACCTTATTTAAAATTCAGAAATATTAAAGGTACAGGGTTCTCTCATTATAGAAGTAATAGAATTCCAGCTATTACAGAGTTAGGGTAATTTACATTGCTATAGAATGCATTATATCAATAAGTGGAACATCTGTATGAAATGTCCATCTGCTGATATACTACTGAGTGTACCTTACAGTGAAATGTACTTAATCATTTTAAGACATCCTCTAATGAAGTCTTATCATGATTAGCATTTTGAACACAAATACTGTTAGGCATTAAAACTTTTGCCTTAAATGAGATTGCATTGTCTTGTTTACCCTTGTTGATTAATAAGCAATCTGTTAACTGTTAGAACAGCCCAGTTCTGCCAGTGAAAGTAAATTAGTAATTCAGCTATGTTTGTAGGGTTTAATCAACATTTCTCTTGAAGGCTCTGAATTAAAAAAAAAAAAAATCACTTCAACCCTATCTGTAGGCAAAGGATATGTATTTTTCAGATGTGTATACCACTCTTTTGCACCTAATGCTATTGGTCAAGTGCATATTTTCATTACCAAAATACTCTGTATATGTATAATATTTCTAAGTAGATTTTCTGATTTTTAATCCACAAATGTTACAAAACTATGGACTTTAAATACGCTTGCTACAGAATATTAACTCCTTTCCTGGTAAAGTTCAGGTCAGCCAATGGTTTTGAAAAACTTTGAGAACTCTGCTCTGGTGGCTAGCTTTCATTTCTTTATTTATTTGTTTGTTTATTTATTTATCATTATTAACTCCAGTTAAAGGAAAATACCCTGTCTTCATAAAAGATGGTAGTTGAGATTTTCTCATAGGGCCATGCACTTTCATCTGTGGCATCCCACAGAAGGAAACAGATGTTAGCAAGTTATAATTTAAATTATCTGGAAGGTTCCCATGTGTAGAGCACAGTTCTGTTAAATTCAGGAGTAGCACTGGCCTCTGATAATAGCTGTGTACTTGAACTGTGTGATGCTATAAAAGTGTGGAGCCTTGGAAGCTGGGCTGAAGCTGTCATCCTCAGAAGTGTTTGTGTTTTGTGTACCCTACTGTTATAGATATTATAAAAACACATTGTGAGGCAATAAAACCCTGATCTGATGTTGAATGACTATAAAGTGCAATTGTATTTGTAGACTAAACTGTGTTCAAAGTCATCCCATGCCATTAACTGCTTCCGGGTGGTAGATCTCTCTTTCATTTTGGCATGTAAAATGCATTATTTATATAGCTATTCAATAGGACTCTCAGTGTAGTTATATATGTAGTTTTCTGGCATACAACCAGCCTATTCCAGTTTCTATCAATATTCAGTAATATTAGGACTTAGTGACTGTCCCATTGTGAAGTTTATGTCAGACTGCATTCTTTGTGGCACTGGAATCTGTAGGATGAAATAAATGCTATGAATAACCCATTTTTGAGAAGGACAGTTATCGTAGTATTCCTAAATTTATCTGAACATAGAACTACCCTGGAAATGATTTTATGACAGCAAAAACCATCTGTAAAGGATTTTGTAGTAACCTCTTTACTCTTCTTCCTGAAGGTTTTCTCCTATGACAGGGTATAGATGAACCATAATTTCTATTTGTTTTTGTTTTCTTCTGAGAGGCATATATGTGTATACACACAGTATATATATATTCTCATTTTATGAATACAGTTTTTTTCCCCATTTTTTTCCTGAAAAATTTCTGATGTTGATTGCTGTCAGGGTAACTCATTTCAGATGTGTCTCAGCTGAATGTAAAAAAGGAAGAATAAACCAGTCTACACCATAAAACTTTCAACATTATTGAGATAGTTAGCTATGTATGGCATTTGTTTGAAGACTGAAAGTAGCTTTATTCCTTATGTGCAATTAAGATTGTGTTTATCTTGAAATAAACAGTAATCTTTGACATTAAGAATGGGAATTTATGGAAGAGCTGAAGAACTGTTAGAACCAGTATCTATCAGATAAGAGTTAATATAGAATGTCCCACCCTGACATTTGTCATCTGTCTGTTCTGCAGTCCCTATGCTGTGAGATCAAGCTGAGACGCCGTGGGGTTGCCTCTGTGCTGCGGCTGTGCCAGCACCTCCTGGATGACCAGGAGACCTGCAACCTGAGTGCAGATCACCAGTCCATGCAGCTGATAATCGTAAACCTTGAGAGGAGGTGGGAAGCCATTGTCATGCAAGCTGTCCAGTGGCAGACAAGGCTACAGAAGAGACTGGAAAAAGACCCAGTGAGTGATGCTTGGTTTAAAAAGATCTCATGTAATTTCACTTTACGCCGGCCATTTAAAAAGATCTCATGTAATTCCATTTTACATCAGTCATTGTTTCAGTGCTAGGCAAGTACTGAGTGTTTTCTTCTGACTGATGGTGCTGTTCCTTGTCTCTAATGACAAGTGAAGTTTTAGTTTTTCACAAAGTGTTATAGTCTATGGACACCCCTAATTAATAAGATAAATTCACAATATGTGTGTTCTATTTGCTGTGTATTTAAATCTCTTCTCATCTGATTCTATTGAGTAATGAAAGCCACCTTCTTTTGAGATCAGTAAGTTGCTCAGTACCAAAAAGAATTGGGCCCAGAGACATATATCATTGATTGTAAATATATTTCAGAAGAAGTATTTTCTTTGTAAGTATGATTGGTTTTAATTAGTATCCCAGCAGTAGATCTGTATTTCACATAGAATGCCATGGTATGTGATTAGTATACAAATCTGTGTTATTTGAATTTAAGTAAAATGCATTAATTTCCCTTTTATCTCAGGGAAATGATTCCTCAGAGACAAAATAGCACTCTGCTTAAACTGTCCATTAAGTGACAGGTTTTCTACAGCATAAAACTATATTATGGTGCAGTATCCACATTCAAACAATAAACCATAGGGGGGACAAAGTAATCCCTACTGTAACACCATTGACTGTAATGGATGAATTGGCTCAGCATGTTCTGTGGTACTATCATAATGCCAAAGCCTGTATGCTGCAGCTACGCTGACAGCAATGATAACCCTCTGTAATGCATGTATTGAGGAGCCTTGATGAGATTTGAGAATAAGTGACATTTTTGCTTATATAATTTTTAGGTTTATATAAAACAAATAAAAGGCAAAAATACTTGATATGTACTTGTTTCCTGACAATTGTCTGACTAGCAGAAAAATACTACTTTTGACTTAGTTTTGTTCCTTTGAAAAAAAAAAAAACAGAAGCTGTATTTCTCTGGGAGTTGTTTGTGTTAATGTAGTATTAAGATATACAAGATATCATTCTGAAAAAAATGGCAGTTCTTGAATGAAAATACTATCAATCTGAACTAGCCAAGAAATAGTGAGTTGGTGAGGAGGATGCTGTAGTGTTGAAGGTAATAATAGGAGAAATTTTAACAGTACATTCACCTTTAAATGAGAGTGTAAGAAAGAGAAGACAAATACTGTCTCACTGGTGAGATAAGATTCCTGAGTTTTGATGGTACTGAATCTAGGAGGGCGAGAAATAAGAACAGAAGTGAGGGAAGTCAAAGGCAAAATAGTGGTTTAGAATAAGGGTTTGAGACTGAAGAACAGAAAAAACCGCTGAAGAAGGAAAACAAAATAGCAAATATTTTTTTAATTGAAAAATGTAATTGGTATTCTATTGAGAAACACCAGTTTTATTGATGTGATAGGTTCCATCTTTGAAATGTTTTTTTTTTTTTTTATATTACTCAGATGTCAATAGCTCTAGTAAACTGCTGGTTAGTGCTGTGCAAACGATTTATTTATTGAGCCAGTAGTAGAAAAACTACGTGAATTTTGAAGCTTCAAGAACACATATGTGAGGTATTGGGCGATAGCTAAAAATCAGTTCTTGCAATTCTGAATTTGGGTTGCTAAAAGTTGAGACTCTGCCAAGTCTGTAACTACATTGATTGCTCCAAAAGTAATGCCTCCTTATTTAATTCCATGTAAACTACAACAGACAGATACAAAGAGCACAATAATCTATTAAGTAGATTAAATTCTCAGCTACAAAACACAGTTTTTCAAAATAGTCACCACCATTAGTCAATTTGTGTAGATGAGCTTATCAAGATATTCTTCATTTGGTGGTGTAAAAGATGTACATGGCTGTCTGGAATAGGGCTTGTCTTTCACATCAATGTTGCCACTACACAGCTCACTGCCTCATTATGCTCAGTGTGCTGTGCACTATTGGGTCTTCATAAGCATTCCAAAAGCATCAATAAATGTCAACAGATGCAATTTTTTTTCTGCATGGAAGAATTCAGTGACGCACCATTGCTTCATACACACTTCCATGTCAGACGCCATTTTGTCAGACTGCCCTTCTGCTGCCATCTGTTACATAGCAACAAAATTTAACAGAATATTGTGGGAAGACTCCGCCTGTACTGCCATACCACCAACATCTGCCTCTGAGTTCATGGACCAATATAATAAAATAGGAGGTATTACTTTTGTAGCAGTCCTTTTAGCTACCCAAAAGAGATTGAGCTGGGTTTTTACTGTACTTATCTGAAAGGTAAGGTACTACAAAGATGAAAATTACCTTTTTCATACAAAACTTACAATTTTGTTGTTACAAATATATCTGTTCTATTGAGCGTGGAACACCAAAAAAAGTTGCATTTGTGAGATAGCTTCAAGAGGGGCTGAACAGAACTCCAAGTTGTTGTAGTGAAAGCCTATTATCTCCTCTTGCATGTGGGCAGCTCATGGAGACAGTTTGCTCTCTGTAGCTGCAGTTACTCTAAATAAGCTGTAATGTGCTAATTAGAGCTTAGTGCTGTTCTTACAGCAGGAGTGAAGAGCCTTGTGTTACTGTGTGGGACTGCAATCGATCAGGAGCTGAGGCATGGTGTTCAAGCACTGTATTTTGCTTGATGTCCCAGTGCTTGGAACTTCACAAGGTGCATGCTGCTTCATTCCCCCTTTGCCTGAGGGAGTCTGGAGTTATTTGCTGGTCTGAACTGTTTTTCATTGTGCAAGGGGGGAACCATTCTTTCTGCTAAGAAACAGCAGCCATTAACTGCCATTGTGATGTGATACTCATTTAATTTACACTGAGCTGTTTTGCTTTGCAACCTCTTATTCTAGTCTTGTTTATAATAATATGATTCTTTGAGTGTGTCAACATCTACAGATTTCTCATGTTGATAAAACTGTTTATATTCCCAACACTTACGGATGCCACAGCCACTACAGAATTCAGGTTCCTTTCTCTTCCCGGGTTTGAGTTGGCATATTCTAGACTTCCTTTTCATTCAGTTCCTGTGTAGTCATTTGTTGGGTAGATACCAGGATTACTAGTTCTGCTTCCCTATCTCTCTCTATTTGATAGTGTGCCAGTCTTGGCACTTAAACAGTATCTCTTACTAACAAGTCTTCATTTGTGATTGCCCACAAAATACTGTAATTTATGAAAACAAATGATGAGATGATTTTATAACTTCATGGCATCCGAACTCATTCATGGCATCCAACTTGCTGATAGTACATAAGATAACCCTAATTACTATATTGCATTAAAGAGGTGCAAAAGTCATTTGCATCTTCTGCTCTCTTTTTAATTTGTGTACTGGGATCTTTCTTTGTCCTGTTTCTGTCCCCAGTCACTTATCTGAGACACATATCATTACAGAAGCATACTGGAATTAACGACAAAGAGGTTTTAGGTTTCTTTTGAATTGTTTGTCTTCACTGAAGGTTTTCAATGTTCCTCAGCCTTTTTGTTTTGTTTTGTTTTTTGTAAATTCTTTTCCCCCAGATTTATCATTCCATAGTTTGCTGGTATAATGTTATCTGACAACTAAATTTTAGCTTCAGAATTACACAGATGCCTTTCAGTTTACCTAACAAGACCCTGCTGGCAATCACTGTAGAAGAAAAAGGAGTCTGTCTGGCAATTGCAACAGCAATAGCAACAGTCTTTAGTCAACTAAACTGAGAACTGCCATCAGAAATTCCTACTCAGCAGTTGGAGAAGCTTTAACTCACTGTGCACTCTCCTTTGGAGGATCTGGTCTACATGAAAGAAAACTGAACAGTTAAAAATGGATTTGGGACAGCATCTGTCATGGTCATGCCAACAAGTTTTCATCAGCTAATTCAAAGTGGGAATGTGTAAGTTGTTTTAGGCAGTATTTTTGATCATTTGCTTAGCCAATTGGTATATTCAGTTTAAGTTAAGCATCTAGCCTCAGTGCATTATTACAGCAGTCATGATATTCACAATTTGATGTCCTATCCAAGTCAGATATATCTCTGTATAGGAAGCCACAATGATGTTACTCTGTGTATTCACTTTTCTGAAACAGCTTTGTCAGTACTGGAATACGTAAAACTGCTGTGGCTCATAGAGAGACAAAAGTGTGTTTTCTAATAGATGTTATTTCTTAAATTGCAATTCAATTCCTGCCTTTTTGATGACCAGAGAAACTGTTTTTTCTCCAGACTGCTCATTCACTGAATGAGAAAGATATCAATTTTATGGAGCGCACAATCTCTTTTCTTATTCAACAGAGGGCTAATTATTGAAGGGACAGTATTCATAATGCTTTTAAAATGGAGACTTTGAGAGAAGATAATTTGGATTAAGGTGCTGTAATTCTCACATTGTCCAGAAAGTGTCTGAAGTATTCATTGGTTTAAGTCTACCACTATGCTTCATGAAATTTTGGAAACTTTTATTTCTTTTTTCCTCCTGAGTCATCCTGTATGTACACTACACTGTATGTCCAGCAAAACCCCCATCTGTATTGGCTGGAAAGTATGCTACACATCCAACCACATAATTGAAAATAATAAGGCCACAATAAATGGGGTGGCCTTGGGGTATAACACCCAAGGGATTCAATTGATGTCGCTTTGCATCAATGTCCATGCATCATGGTAATTGAGGTAACATAACCAATTACCACATTTTAATTAGAGTTGTAAGGACTTGGGAAAATCTGCAATGGTAAGGCAGCTCACTTTAAAAAAAAAAAAAAGCAAAACCCAAACCTCTCTCTTTACCACAAGTTTGTTTCTTATGTGCTTGTTTCATAAGGGGAACAAAGATTCCGTAAAGCCCTGTTTAGTATTTTTCCCAGCTTTCTCTTTATTTCATTCTTTACAACTGACTTCGAAAAACAAGTCATTTAAACATACTGTATTGGTTCTGATCAGGTATCTTTACCCTTTTCTCTCTTCATCTGTTTCTGTAATGTTTTTTCCAAAGAAAATAG